GAGCCAAAGCGTAAGAAATAACATAAAGAGACCAAGAAAGCTTCAACTAGACAGAGCAAATAATACTATTACTAGTACTATTACAACGAATTTCACTTGTAACTTACATAACACACAAACTTCTGTCGGTAAAACTAGTGTGGATGGGGGGGGAGATGACTTGAGTTTTGTTCTCCGAGGGCGACTTTTTAAAGTTCTCATATTTGAATGAATTTACATTGAGTTCCACAATTATCCTATAGAAATTCATAAATGCATGACTTTGTTTCACTAAAGAAATTCGGAAAGACGATAAAAACAATTCATTTATATACGAGCTAAATTGGCAGCCCAAAGGCAAACAAGACATTAAGCGTGAGTTAAAGAAATAAAAATAAGAGGCGAAACAAACACACAAAATTCTAAATTAGCGCAATGTACATCACTCAGATGATAATTATTCCAACGACACAAATCAAAGTTGTGAATAAGAGGTGCAATGGGAGAAATATATACATTTATATTGAACAGAATTAATATTTAATTAATTACAAAATATCGAAGTTATTACAAAATATGGGTGATAGAAACAACTGTCAGAGACTTTGCTGTGTTCATTGTTGGCGATTAAAATTAAAATATTCATTCTGCTAGATACGCACCAGATGTATTCGATGTATCTAAGTCCCTGAAGACGACATTAACAGCTGGTGCGTATCTAGCAGAATGAATATTTTAATTTTAATCGCCAACAATGAACACAGCAAAGTCTCTGAAATACTGAGCAGGTCTTCGGAATAAAAGTTTCCAAAAGGGAAGGACAGAATTTAAAACCAATGTTAACTTTAAGAAGGAACAGTGCATCAAGGTGATACTTTCATGTAAGGCACATAGTTTTAAATACTCTAAAGCGTCAGTATAACTGTAATGGGCATATAGTAGAAAACGGCTATAACAAAGGGCTGAAAACTTCTGCTGGATGCGTTCCAGAGAACTCGAAACAACAGAGGCGTATCCAAAGCTTTGATCTAAGGTAAAATATAATAAATACAGGCAGTGAAAGGAAGAAGGGCTAGCAAGACCCAACGACAAAATACACTGAGAAAATATATAGTCAACACGATTATGTAAGTAAAGTTCAGAATCAATAAACACTCACAGGTCTCTAATGGAGTCTGTTCGGGTTATAGAGAACTGTTAAGGTTTATAATCCAAGGTCAATATATTAATTTTTCTTGAGTAGGAAATTACACTGGTCTTACTAATGTTGAGTTTCAAGAAGTTGGCAGTGCACTATTCTTGTATAGAAACAGTGAAAGACTGATACATTGTAATCGTTAGATTTAATGGCAAGGAAGGTTTTGACATCATCAGTATAAAGAAGACATTAATTATGTTGATCATAATGAATATGTTGAAAAACAGAGGCCCCAAAACAGATCCCTGTGCGATTAAAGAGTTACGGAAATAATGATGATGATGATGATGATGATGACAATAATAATAATAATAATAATAATAATCCGAAAGACGATGGCATAAAATAAAATTATATAATACATGTGGCACTTGCTAAAAACAATATGGATCCCGGAAATAGCTGCTGCCCTATGCACCTTAGGGACAAAGTCTGTCTTGGGTACATCGAAGTACATACCACATAAAGTGGTGAAGAGATGGGATGATGATGATAATAATAATAATAATAATGGCTAATTTTGCAGGGCAAAATGTTTTAACATTTAGATCAATTGGATAATTCAGTCCACGTCAGTAAATATAGATTTGCAAGGACAATTTTAATATTATCCTCCCAGTCAAGTTATATCTTTTTGATGGGTTTTCTTAACAAAGTTTTGTTCATTTTCTTGTTTTCCTTGCGTGCCAAACTCATACACTCCAGACTCTCAAATATGATGGTCGGGTTCATCATAAATGATTCCCTTCTCCCCTGACGCAATTTACAGCCCTCGTTCTAGGCGTCCTTGGAACACTTTCCACGAGTGTACAAGAAGTTTCTTGAAGTAATTAGGAGTTCCCACGTCGGGAAGACAAGGCCTCCATTCAGCATTATAGTGAGTGAGACAGTTACTCGGTGTTACCAGGGCGTCGTGGAAGCTTTGCTGTCGATTTGAACTTATTTGTAGTGACTGGCCGATCAACTGAATATCTGTACCTGTTTTTTTAAATTACTGGCGCTTAATTTGTGGCCCGAAATCTGTACGTAGTGCCTTGCGTCCTCAACATGGATATTTATAGCGTGTGACGAAAATGTTCTGGAACATTTGATGGATCCAGTCCATTTACGATAACAATGTAATACAATGTTGTGTTGCGTTCCTGAGTAGGTTATCGAAATGGTAGCTTGTAAAACTTTTACTTGGTTCGAATCGCGGACGGGGAATCGGATATTGCGAATATTGATTTTTGTGGTTTTCCTTAGTCCTCCCATGCAAATGCCAGGACAGTTCGTGTTTGCCACGATTACTTTTACATCCGTTCTAAACCCACCCCTATTTACTACTTATGCCATTCAAAGCAAATAATCTCTGCAGTTGAATCAACGTCGCTAAATAAATGAAGAATCAATAATGTTATATATTACACTTTAAGAAACGGCATAATGACAAACTTAAAAATTTATACTTCTCCCCCAGTATTGTAAGGGTGATTAAGTCGAGAAGAATGAGATGGACGGGACATGTAACACGCATGGATATGGCAAGAGGTGTGCTCCAGCCTGAGGGGAAGAGACCTCTGGGGAGACCTAGGCGTAGATGGGAGGATAATGTCAGACAGGATCTATGGGAGATAGGAGTCGAAGGAGACTTGATTTTGTTGGCCCAGGACAGGGTCCGGTGGAGGGCTTTGGTTAATTCGGTGATGAACCTTCGGGTTCGGTAAGCCATCTAGTTAGTTACGTAGTTATTATACTTTAAGAAACACAAACTATTTTTTTCTGAAAACTAGTAAGGGAAGAGACTTCTTGCAAGACCTAGGCATAAAAGGGAGTATAATATTAAAATGTATGTTACAGAAACAAGATCTGAATGTCAACTGCATACGACCGTTTCAGAAAGGATCTACTGAGGAGATCATGTGAAGATAGTTTTGAGCCTTTGGCTTTTACTTGGCCTGTCAAATGACTATGGCAATTTAATTTTTCTGGCCCAAGATAGGGACCAGTGGAGGGCTTTGATTAATTTGCTGATGAACCTTTGCATTCCCTAAACCATCTAGTTAGTTACTCAAATGACTGTTAGTTTCTCTAAGAAGACCATATAACACAGAGCTATATTACAATTCTAATGAGATATGAGTATTAAATTGTTCCTGTAGTTGATCAACTAGCTATATCCATATCTGATTCTGAGGTTAGAGAATAATGACATGAGAACAGGAGTCGAGATCAGGGCGGACGTGCTCATATGCAAGTACAGGCCTACATGCATCCTTCAGTATCCCAGAAGACAGTCTCCATAACTTTGCCAGCCATAGATATAGTTCTGGTATTTATCCTTTTATGATGCCATTTCATAATCTGCTATTTGTTTCTAAGTCAAAATGGTGGAAACAACTGAACAGCTTACATCACCAGTCATGATGCTAAACATGAAGCAATTGCCCTCAACACTATGTTTTTAAAGTTACTGTGATAATACAACCATGCTTGTCTTTTGTGTCCATCCATAAGTAAGCGGGCAAACGAAACGGAACAAACTTTCCAACATCGCAGGCACAATCATCTCCTGTACTGTCCTGTGTCAAGAGCTGATCTGCAATTCCCTTCATCACTGCTCTTCAGTCTTTGATGGTCATATAAATGTTCTGCTTGTTGCAATTAGTTGTGGTGATTCCCAGATACAGTACGGCTAATTAGAAGTGTCCATCGTTCTATTTTTAAGTGTTTCACACACCGTACACTGCTGGCATCCATGCAGGTATGTCTATACACATGATGAAGGCATCCATAAATGTCTGCAGCTATGCCGCTCTCCTTTATAAGAAATTCAGTCAGTCCATATTACAGAACAAATGACTGACAGTCATTTTAACACTGGTGATGCACAGATCAGACCTGTTTTCATATTGGAGAAGATAGATGTCACTACCAATGATTTACATTCATTTTTCTCTCATAAGCACAGAATCTCATTAGTTTATCAATTCTGTACATTAATTTCTTACAAAGCTCCTAATATTCTAGACTTCATCACTAGATTGAGGGTGGGTGGTCAGATATATACTTAGAAGAAATAATTTCAAATGCCAAACAAATATGAATGTGGGCCAGCAGCCCTGGAGTCACTATGGACATTGTGGTGACGTGAGAAATCCGATGGAGTACAAATATGTGCAAAATACATGTCTCGTGATCATTTTTACACATCAAATCTGCTGTTAAAAAGTTGCACCCATCATTGCACAGAGGCAGAGATTATTGTTTATTTCATTAAATACTCAGCATATCTAGAAATATTATGAATAAAAGTTGTGCAACTTACCAAGATCTATATTTTTCCATGTAATATTTTTTGTACGATGAGCGATTTTTGAGAAATATGATACTTTCACTTTGGGCTACAAGCAAAGTAGGGATTATAGTTTCCTAGTATGCACAAAAATTAAAACCATCTTAAATCCCAAATTCCATATTTTATCAAAATCCACTGAACAAGTTCAGAGACTAAACATACACACAGACAAATATGGTCTCCCATTATTTATTCCCTTTATGTGAGTAGGGTCTACAGACAGGCTCTTGTGAACACACTAATAAACGTACGAGTTCCATAAAAGATATGGAAGCTGACTAGTTAAGTAACTATCATATTCTCAAAACAGACCTACACAGTATACTTAGTTTAACAAAAACACATAATCTGGTATAATTACTCAATCACTCACTAACAAATCTCTCAATTTTTGTGCTTTGAGAGTAAATCAGTAAAACCAGGACTGTCAAAGGAAACAGAGATGGATGTGAACTATTCGTAAACTGGGATGTACTTATTTTTCAGGTGTTACGGAGAGTAGAAAGTCTAATGACTACCATTGTGGATCCAGCCTTCAAGGCTATACCAAAGAACAGCACTGCTTTCCTTATATGGAGGATAGAGGTAAGTGATTCAGTCCCTGTATGGACAGCAACTCCATAATACTAGAGGGAGGGAGAAAGGAGATAACTAAATAAAACAAAAATTATAAATGTGAAACAGAATTATAATATAAAAACTGTTGATCAATTATCTGTAAACACAAGAAAGTTCAAGTGCCACTACTTGAGAATGACAGAAACAAACTGAAACAATATTCATAAAGAAATTAAAAGCATCTTAAAGTAAAGAGAAATGGAGAATATTATACAATAAAGAGCTTCATAATCTGTAAGTTTCACCTTATATTGTTGTGATAATTAAACACAGACAAGATGGGTGTGGCATGCAGCATGCATAGGGTAAACAAATAGAATTTTGATCAGGAAACATTTTAGAAAGTTAAAATTTGGAATATCTGAAACAGGGACTGGAAGAGAGCATTGAAATGGATCTAAGGGAAATGGGATGCAGAAATGTGGGTTTCTTTTCAGTGGCTAACAAAAGGACTGGTGGTGATCTGTTTTAGAATTTTTAAATCCTTGAGTCCTAATTATACAGAGCTAGTTAGCGATATACTGTACTGAATTACGCTCCAGGGTAGCTCAGTATAGTGTCCAACTATTGAATGAATGACTGGGGTTTCATCCCCAATAGCCACTGCATCAAACATTCCTATCATAGTGGGTACCAGGGGTCCTTTCCCCAGGGATAAAGCATGGCCAATGTGTGATGCTGACCACTGCCCCATCTAGTGCTGAGATCAAGAATGAGTAGAAGCCATACTTCCTCTCCTCTGGCATGGAATGTAGTGGGACAGCTTTTCTTTACTGTACCGAATTATTAACACTGACAACTAATTTTAACAAATGTGTGCAATGTTACTTGAGATATCTGTAAGAATTAATGTGTTATCCCTTTTCTTACGTAACTAGGTAACATAGAGATAACTCTGATAAACTAGTGAAAGGAAACACATACAATAGGCATTGATAAAACCCATATTAATCTCATACTGATAAACTATCAATAAGATTGGCACAGAAACTAATCAAGGCAGCAACATGAAATACAGCCTGGATGTTATTATCCTCATTATGCTTAAACCAGTAGTTTCCAAATTGTTGGCCATGAAAATTTTGGGATAACCTGAAATAGTTCAAGGAGAGCCAACTTTGAAAGTTATGAAATTTTCATCAGAAATATTTCTTAGTTTTGTATTTAATTATTAGACTAATTAAAGAAGTTTTACCTTAATATAATCATTATTCATTAACACATTCCTAACAACAATTCAGTGTTATTTTATCAGTATACTTTCAAAAGCTAAATATTTTAAAATGTCATTAATCTGATTGTCCTGCTGTTTCTTACATGATTAATTTGTAACATATTTCTCAAAAATTTCAGAGTGCATAAAATAATGTAACTAATGTAAATTTTAGATTTTTTTCTCAAATGAGATAAACCTTAAAATGTTCTGTACATGGCCAGGTAATTATGTATCCCTGACTGCCAGAGTGGCTTAACATTATCATTTTATAGATTGCTGTCTTCTGGGTTATTGCGCCATGTAGTCTGGTGGAAATGTATCAGACTACATGGCGCAATAACCCAGAGGACAGCAATCTTCAGACTCACCACTGTGAAAACCTGAAATCCTACTCATCATTTTAAGTTTCATTTTTATATGGTTCATCAACATAAAATTTATTGAAAATCTATTCACTGACACATTATTTCCTGACATTCATGTTTTCAACTTATCTCCCATTAAGAACATTAGCAATGGTGATATTAAGTGACTCCACAGAAGGTTATATGTCCCCAGACTGTACAAACCCTGTAAGATTTGAGGTTCTCATGGCACTGATTATAAAGATGGCTGTCTTCTGAGTTGTAGTGCTATGCAGTCTGGTAAACTTCTACCAGACTATATGGCACAACAATTCAGAAGACAGCCATATTTTTACAAACTCTGCCATCTGTTACAGAACTTGCAAGTAGTGCCTGTTCCAAAGGATCAGTATGGCAGCTTCTATGAGGGCGATTCCTACATTGTCTATGCTGCATCCGAGTATGGGAAACCTGCTTCAGCAGATTCCAGGGTAAGTTGCAGTGCTAATGCAGTTAAAATACATCAACTTTAGGATGTTGTTAGTTTCTTAATATGCTTAGAGTTAACTCAAATGCAGGGATATATATATTAAACAACAAATATAATTCAAAACGTTAACAATTGTCTTTCGTGGCAGTGAAAATGTTGATTGTGCTATTCTGAATTGTGCTATCTTGCAAACTTGTAGGTGGCCACCAACATTTCAAAGGAACATACTGCCTCCATTTATTTCAGCCTTGAAGATGGAAGAATGTGTTCCTCCCAAACACTAATACCTACCTACAGTCCACAAAGTATCAGAACCCAGAAAACCATTAAATTATAACCTAACATGATTTTTGATAATGATACAACTGTAGTTATTATATTGCCATAGCAGTTTCCTGGATTAAATAGTAGCATTTCCTCTACACCACACGAAAGGATGCATTGCCACAACTAGGTCCTCTGTAATTATACAGTGGAAATTTGTTCCTCAACACCATATATAATGGCTGCAGATTCATGACTGTGTTGAATTAGGTAATGGCATCTGCTCCCCATCATATGTGATGGTTAACCACCATGACTGTCACCACAGCCTCATTCATAACAACATGACACACACTGTGAAAGTAAGATTGGAACTCAGGTAGAAGGGGGTTTGCACTGAGGAACTCTCAGATACACAAATAACTGACAAATATTCTAGGTAGAATTCTAGACCTTTTCATGTGGGAGTTGCATACAGAACCCTCTAAATCAGCGTTTCTCAACCTACATTGGCTCGCACACCACTGGTGATACGCAAGATAATGCGAACTAAGTAAGAAAATCAAATAAGTTTGTCCCTGAACACATTTGGTTAGTGGTACATTTAATGTTGTTAAATTAGAATTAGTGGTATGCCAGTGAAAAAGGTTGAGAACGGACATGTTATGATAATTTTGGTTGTAATCTGACCTGTATTCTGGTATAGCCTGTCCAGATACATGGAACACCTGAAGTCCACATCCACTTCTGGCTGGGTAAGGAAGCGACCACTGATGAGGCAGGCATAGCAGCATACAAAACAGTGGAGCTAGACGACTACCTGGGGGGTTCTCCCATTCAACACCGTGAGTCACAGGGCAATGAGTCGGCTCGGTTCAAGGGGTACTTCAAGGCAGGCATGAGGTACAGGCTCTTAGAAATGCACCAAAAACATTATAGGTCTACTGCTAATCAACTAAGTAGGCCAAACATTCTGAAACATAAAGAATATTAACCAATTAATTTCTTAACTATTCAGTTATCTATATTTCTCACCATTAATCAGGCCCTTCAAAATAATTATTTCATAGTACATTGAAGTCTGTAATAAATTTTGAAATATGCACATACATTAACACACATACTCACAGAAACAAAATATATTAATGTATATTTATACACATTTTCTATTAACCTTTCTTTTTTAAATGCAAAATAACTTCAGGAAATTAAAGCTACAGGTCACACACGTATTCTAATTCTAAGTGAGACTTATGAGTGTATTCAAACAACTGACTGTCATATGTTTCTGTATCTTGGTTGGCAGGCTGTTGAAGGGAGGTGCAGCATCAGGCTTCAACCATGTCACTGATACATTTGAACCCCGCCTTTTCCACATTAAGGGCAGACGTTCACCAGCTGTCACTCAACATCCAATCAGTTGGGAATATTTCAACAGTGGTGATGTGTTCATTATTGACACAAGGGAAATTGTGTTTGTATGGGTGGGCAAGTCTGCTAACAACATGGAAAAGCTGCAGGCTACCAAGGTTAGAACTAGAAGCAAGCATATGGATTACAATTTGCTGTTGTTCTTCTTAAATAGTTCTAGATTAAAGAATTCTGCACTTTCCATGTCTTGTGCTCATACCTTTGTCCGAAGTTAACAAAAAATTGTGTTCGGCTGGGTCTATGCTGACAGAACTGATATGACAAAATCTGCTTTTCATTATATTGCTGTTGGGATAAAATTGTCAAGCTTTTCAGTGTTATGTATAGTTTATTTTGTGACCCAAACTTCTTTTCCCCACTCCACACCCTTTAATGAACCATGGCTTGCTCCCCACTACATGGCATCCCACTTCTCTCACACTGAACCTTCATCTTTTTTTCCTTCCTTTTATTGTCTTTCTATTCTACTTTCTCACTGCCTTTTCCTATGTCCTTCCCAATCTTGTGTGCACTTTGCTGTGGATATTCTTTATTCTTCCATCCCAGTTCCCTCTGAATCCACCTTCCCCTTTTGCTTCTTCCTTTTATCACCTTATCATTTTAACTTCTAATGTTTTTCAACACCTCTTTTCCCAAACCATGTGGCTGTCCCTCACTGGTTAGCACCTCACTCCTCTGTGTGCCCAGTCACATCGCTCACCTCCTACCCAACCCTCTTGCCAGACTTGCATAAAGGCTCCTCTACCTTCCAACAAACATTCACCCTGAAGACAGCAACTTTAGCACCTGCTGAAACTTCAGAGTACATTCAACTGTATATGTGGTTTATCCATGAAAGCTGAAGATATGCAATTTTAACACATTTTATATGTAGGAGATATGTTGCATATTTATTACTCATATGAGACTCTATTCCTGAAAGAATAACAAAATTTATATGATCATATGAAGTATATGTAACAGTTACATATAAACAATTTTAAAATATGATAATACAGTAGAGCACCAATTATCCTTGATAACTGGGAGAAGCATGGGCCTGGATAATTGAAAAACATGGTTATGCAAATTATATTTTATCAGAATTATCAACCTTATAAGCAAAATAATAACTTATACATGTTTCTGCATGGAAACAAACATATTCACATTGCAAGACATATACAAAAAATACTAAACATTCTTTCTTGAAGTCAGTTTGTCAGAAAGTCTGCAATTTTGTTACATATTACAGAGAATCTGAGACCATGGATAATCCACACCACAGATAAATGGGTCTTGGATAATTGGAACTCTATACAGTAACATTTTCTGGAGCCAAGAAATGGGGAATTTTATTACTCTAACTTTTCTAGTGTTTGTCAAAAAAATCGTGAATTGGCTGTGTTGTCATTAACCAAAAATGTATTTAGCTTAAACATTTTAACAATATTTTCATTAGACTTTCTTCCCCTTAAACTCCTGAATTATGTCAACAACACCAACTTTTATCATACCAGCCTTAAATCTCTACCACAGACATTCATGGCCCAATTAAACTGCATTTAATTAATAAAAGTGCAATTCAGCATGCAGCTACGGGACACAAAAGGCGTTTTAGAAATACAGTTTAAACTTTTACATGGATGCATTGTGGTGATACAAGTTAATTCTTACACATGATTTTCTTTCTGTTGTGAAATTTCTCCTAAAAACTGAACCAAGCAGACTGGCATAGTGGTAACACTGTAGAATTTTACTAGGGAGATATCCAATTCAGATCTCAACAGGCTATCAGCTATCCTGACATGTTTTAATGGTTTTCCTCAATCATTTACATAAATGTTGGAATTGTATCTACAAATAGGCTATAACAACCTCCTTCTAAGCCCTTATGTACTTACTGTTCATGATCACCTTCCCATCTCACAGTCATATCTTTATTAAGCACAGCAGTGAAAGGGTTAGAATATGCCACATATAATTCCATGTTATTCTTCCCAATATAAAAGGCACTTTCATCCTGTTCTAATTTATTTGATGATACATGAACTTTGCAGTTGACAGAAATTATCATGATACAAGACTGGCTAACCTTAAAAACTGTGATGGCAGGTGGCAACAAAACTGCGTGATGAGCACAATGCCAGCTCCATCGTATTTGTGGACGACGGGAAGGAGAAGTCATTGCCTGTCTGTGAGAGGACAGTGTTCAATGCTCACCTGGGCCTGAGTAATCACACAGTCAAGTCTGCAGAAGAAGCTGGCGCTGATGATGTTCAGGAGGAAGTCAAACGAGCAACGCTTACTCTGTACCATTGCAGTGATGAGGATGGCACCTACAAGGTCACAGAGGTCAAATCTGGCCCCCTAGAACAGAGTGATCTGAGGTCAGAGGTAGGTCCTGATCTTGATCTAGTATTTTCACTTATAATGAATGTCTTACAGTTTCAGCTATAACTATAAACTAAAAGTTATGTGAATTAGATGTTCTAATGTTTGACTACATAAATTTCAAGTACTGAACAATCATAATTTTTGCTACGTCCAAAAAATAAGAAATGTTTCATATAACATTTTATGAACACTTTCATAAACTGTCACTGTATATCAGTTCAAATCCCAATTAAACAATGGTGTCAGCCGCTCAGATTGTACAGTGTAGATAGGACAATTAATGAATAATTGGTAAGTATGTGGAAGAAAGTGGCTGTGACATAATTTAATGTACTATCCTAGCATTTACATTGAGGAACTGAAAATATACATGAAACCACTCAGTCAGAACAGCTGGTCTCTGAGCCAAGATTTGAACCAGAGACCTCCAAAAACTTAAGCAGGAGTCCTAAACACTTGACTGTGATGTTCAGTAACTATCATGAAATAAAAACATATCTTCAAAAGTAATGCTGTCTATTTAAAAATTTAATATTATTCCATCCCTATATGCCTAGGTATCCCAATTGGTCTCTTCACTTTAGATTCTCTGATTAAAATGTTGATGTATGTCTCAACACTATGCAAGCTACATGGCACTGCTTCTTGGTCACCCTAGTTGAATCTGGCGAAGAGTACAAATTATGACGTTTCTCATTATTTTAAATTTGTCAAGCTTCATTTTTCTTCCTCATTTTTAGGTAAAAATATTCAACTGAGTATCCCACCCAACTTTGCAGCCAAGTGGTTAGCAATTCTGCTTTGTTTCTGGGAGGTCTCTAGTTCAAATCTTGACCTAGAAACAAGATATCCTGACAGGTTTTTTGTGGTTTTCCTTACTCCATCCAGGTTAATGTTGGGATAGTACCTTAACTGATGCCATGACTGCTTCCTTCCTCATCCTTTCCAATCCATTATTCACTAATCATAACACCATTAACATTATATAATGTGAGCTACTGAATAAGTCATTAAATAAATCACAAATTCATTATATAAATAAATGCAACATCCTTTTACCAAACACTCTCAATCTATCTTCTTCCCTTAGGGTCAGAAACAGAGTTCTTTATTCATACAAAATGAATCATAGGGGTTAATTTTCAAAATACCACAAACAGGAGTCAACCTTTTCTAGGACCAGTGTCATTGAATCTACCAGATCAAAAAGTAGTGGACTAGTAAATGATGTTGAGACATGCGTGATACATGGCTAAATGTCATCAAATGTTGCTTCATACTTTGGAGGTTCTGGGTTCTTATCTTTAAACAAAGACTGATTATTCAGAGAGTTTGTTCTTGTTGTTGTTTTTTTGTTGTTTTTTTCCCTCTCCTGCAAATGACTGTATGGTATCTCGAAGTATGCTATAATGCCTTCCTTTCACTTCCACTCAAACTCACCCTGCTGTTTAGTGATATATTAGCACATGCAGTTGGTAAAACATAACTAAATAAACTAAGAAGCAATAAGACATAAATTTATACACTGATATTCCTGGAAAATGCAATGAAATACCTTTCTTCTCTTGCCAGGATTCCTTCATTATTGACAATGGTCCTGAAGGCATATGGGTGTGGGTAGGTCGCAAAGCATCATCTAAGGAACGGGTTGAAGCAATGCGTAATGCTCAGGGTTATGTGACCAAGAAGGGCTATCCAAGCAACACATTAGTCACAAGAGTGGTGGATGGAGGTGAGCCCATTGAGTTCAAAGTGCTGTTCACATCCTGGAAGGAATACAACCAGACATCTGGCATAGGAAAACAAAACAATGGTAAGTCTCTGGGAAATTCTTTGTACCATGGATGCCTAAACAGTGGTGATAAACTGAATATGAAAATAATACAATTGTAAAAAAATTCACTCAATGATTACAGACATATTGATTGAATTCTTGACCTATATTCATCTACAAGCTAATAGCACTCGTTCTTTCAAGCATCTATTCATTACCCAGTAAACAACATTGCATGAGTCTGACCTATTCCCCAACAAAAATACATTTACTGTGGTTAGCTTCGTTCTGTAACACATGTATATCAAGGTTAATGAGGTATGTAAATCTGCAATATCATTTGGAAAACCATTTGGGCATTAAAAATTGTCTCTTAGTTCATCCTCCCTTATACATAAAATATGACATTTTGGTTAGTCCTCATGCAATGATTATTATAAAATGAAGAAATACAAAAACTGCTCAGTGGTTTGAATAATCAGTATCTGATAACTACCACTACAAAGTTTGATGACAATGTTTCAGTTGGTAAGATTGCCACCACTATCAACAACAAGTTTGATGCAGCCACCTTGCATGACAAACCAAAGTTTGCTGCTGAATCACAGCTTGTAGATGATGGTACAGGAGAGCGCACCGTGTGGCGTGTTGAGAATTTCGAGCTGGTCCCTGTGCCTGACAATCTAAAGGGTGTGTTCTTTGCCGGGGACTGCTATGTGGTGAAGTACACATATCTTGCTGGAGGCATAGAGAAGCACCTCATCTACTACTGGCTCGTAAGTTATCTCATGTCCCATGGGCTGCAAGCCATCTGCATCACACAAATACAACATGTCATGTTTTATAGAATTTTAACTGCCTGCATAGGATAGTGTTAGTGTTGTTCTCAACTCTTAAATTTGCATATTTTGATTTGCATACTGGTATTTCTATAGCATAAAGTTAAGAAGTACAAAGATGGGGGAGGAGGTCTCCAGTTGCATCATGTTTATAATGAATTACATGAAGACCAATCAGCTTCTGACTATAGTATGAAGAAATAAAGCAAAGATCCTGCAGCTTCACTAGCCATGTCTTTGAATACAGCAATATTACGAGCAAAAGAGTTGTCATATATTATACTAATAATATTTTGGACAATGTCAACTGTCTGATGTGCATTTGATACACTTCGCAGTCACAAATCTTTAGAGAACCTTCACTTATACATACAAACATGCATACATACATTTGTGTAATAAAAAGATGAAGTTGTCCCTGTTCCTAATTACCTTGCCGGTCTGTCTTCTTCATACATCTTTAAATGTAAACCACTCTGGGTACTCGTTTTATTGCGCTTCGCAGATATTGCTGTTTTTAAAAATTGAAGGTCTGTGGCAACCCTGCGTCAAGCAAGTCTATTGGCGCCATTTTTCCAACAGCATGTGTTCACTTCGTGTCTCTGTGTCACATTTTGGTATTTCTCGCATTGTTTTTTAGACATAATGCTATTGCACACTTAATAGATTACAGTATAGTGTAAACATAACTTATATATGCACTGGGAAACCAAGAAATTCGTGTGATTCGCTTTATTGCGATATTCCTGGAAAGTAGAGGTTATAATGTACGGGCATCATCCAAAATTAAAAGCACTTAACAAAGATAAACTGCTAGTACAAAGTGTCATCACTATCCATTAAATTATTTAGCAGCCCTTAATGTGTTGAGGAACTGTTGCCAAATTATTGACAGTTACATGAAGTATTACTGTAGAACGTCTTGCATGTTTCGTTGCCTTCAGGGACAAAAATCATCCCAAGATGAGCAGGGAACCGCTGCACTCAAGACGGTGGAGCTGGATGATCAGCTGGGCGGTGCAGCAGTGCAGGTGCGTGTGGTGCAGGGCAAGGAACCAGCACACTTTCTTACCATCTTCAATGGCAGGATGATCATTCTGCAAGGTGGCAAGGCATCTTCATTCGATGGTAAATACATCATCATTCAAGTACTTCAATGATCATGAACTTTACATTAGTGAGAATAAGATGGAAGTTGGTCCTTGACTTACTCTTCACCTAGGAGAATGTTGTGCTATTATTATTTTTTTATTCATGGGCCATGCTTTGATGTAAAAATGGGTCACAGAGCCTCATGAGAAAAATTCTGTTATTTAAAAACTCTTGTGTGGTGTGAGGTTTTCTTTGCAGTGAAAATTTGAAGTGGTCTTCTAGGTTATGATGCGATATAAATGATTACCAACATTTTGGACGATTTTATTGCCTACATTTTCTGTTCAGCACAAATATGGAAGTGCCAAGATCCACAGAAATGTTGGTAACCATCTACAAGACTACACTGATATGACACAGAAGACAACAATCTAGATTAAAAACTGTTAAGTCGCTGCCAGTTATTTGCACTGACTAAGCATCTTCATGATTATATCAGGAGGAATAAAAATATGATTGATTAATAATTAATTCAGGCAATATTCTAAATTCTGACTAATGTTCTGAAGTTGTTATGACATTAAAACGAATCTCAAGTGGTCCTCATTCACCTTTCTTTTATATACAGGAGTACAGTAATTGCATTTACTGGAGACTTCAAAACTTGCACTTATATCAGAATCTCAGATTTATTTATTCAGTTTTGTGATTACAATCCTTTTTGCATAATATGTATAAGAAGGTATGTATATGAAAGTAATAATAAACTATAAGGACTGAGAAAGAATAGCAAGGGCAGCTACCAAAATACTCCATTTTTAAACTTCTGAAGTAGGAATATATAAAATATGAAATTCTTACAGTAGTAATATTTTTATTGTGGACTTCTGTGTTGTAACACCATGTTGTCTTATAGGTGTTTGCTAGTGTTTTGGAAGATTTTTGATAACTGCCTACAAGACAACATGGCATCACAACCGAGATCAGTTCTGAAATTGATTTGCAGCTTTTAAAGTTGACACTGGCATATTACTTGCACAAGTTGTAGCCTTTCACCAACATTAAAAGAATTCAGGTTTGCCTAGTACAATACCATCACCTACTGGAAAAACAGAAACAACAGGAAAAATGTGGGGGTATGAGTATGTTACAATTAACAGTATGATTTCCTTCTACAATAGTTATCAATAAGTAAATTAAATAAATAAAGTTACACTGTAACCAGCATTATCTCAAACAGCAACTAGCGAAAGACTGAGGGTTACATAACGTCATAAATCGAATGCCATTACCTGCACACTGCCTGAAATGAACCCTCTGCCCTGTGTATCCCAGTAAACCATACAGTGGGTCACAATCATTTCCATGGCAGAATAGATCATAACAAAGTTCCACACTGTAGTTACCAGTAGGATCTCCCATGTGATCATACTTCTTGATAGCAGACTTTGTAGTCTGCCTTTGGATAGATGCTTGGATAATAACATAAGAAAGTAATTAATTTTCTGTAATCACAATTTTCACAATTGTTGCAAAGAATGAGATATTTATAAATTAACTTCCTATTCAATCGATAGTTGACAAATACTCCATAGTAAAGGTAAAGTTTAGCCACTGCCTAAGCACCTTACTATGGAGAAATGGAGGCAGAGATCAATACATTTTATACCTTGGCATTAGATGAAATTTAGTCATCAGCTTCATTCTTTACCCTATAGTACAAATTGGGTATTAAAATGGGTGGTTCTTAGAGCCAATCTGGACAGGCTGGTGGAGAGAATCATGCCACCCAAGAATTGAATCCCATTCACCTAGCAATTAGGTGATCTGGCTGACTGTGCTTCAGAGTAACATACTGTTAAAATGTTAACCCCAAGCCAGCAGCTGTCCTACAGGGGATTAAATCCTCTTCCCATAGTGTAATAAATGTTTAGTTTTCCCATTATGTATTTTCTACATGTTAACTTACTGTATCTGTCTTCAACTGCTTATATTTTAAACACTTTATTCTCATACACCCTGAACGTATGTTTTTCTGTGATAGTGAGAGACCAAGTTTCACACTCATAAAACAATGGATAAAATTATAATTCTGGCCTTTAAAATCTTTATTTTTTCTTCTGTTTCTTATGGGGGTAGGAGCTGAAACATTCTTAATTGTATTTTGTGGTATAACTAAAATTTAAGAAATAAAAATATTCAGGGAAGACCTATAAATCATACAACTATATAAAACCAAGGTTTCAACATAACACATCAGGATGCTACACTGCAGACCACATACAAACACTTCTCCTGTCAGTTCATTTCAAAATTTTACACTTGAGTGTGGGACATGAGTTACTTAAGATACGGAATTCACTGAAGTTATTTCTATCTAACATACTAACATGCATATTATGATTCAGACATATTTTAATTGTAGGTGAAGGAGCTAAGGACACTGGAATTCCAAAGGACTTCTTGCTGCAGGTGCGAGGAAATGACAGTCATAACACCAGAGCAACCCAGGTGAGGCAATATTGCAATAATATTTTTTCCATATGCCGTATTTTAGATTTTAGTAGCAACATGGATTGTGATCAGAGCTTGAATGAATGGCCACCTGAGAATACCAAATAACAATGGCAGTAACATTAGCTACTCTGCTGGTTACTATATCACTATACACCATGGTTTCATTCATACCATCCCATTTCATGGCCATCAGCTGTATTCCTGGCCAATCAGAATTCATGACAGTTTATTATATTTCTATATTAAACCTTCTGATACTATTTCTTTGTTAATTCAACCCTGAAGGAAGAGGCTCACAGTTCCTCTTAAATTTTGGAAATTTTGATCATGACACAAGACTACATTGTCTTAAGGTAAATGTTTTCACAATATGCAAAAGAGATTGAAATATTGTTCTAGATTTTATAAATTTAAGGTGACATGTAGTGATTTATGTTTGTTTCTGTCTCAGTCTTACTATATTACCATTTGTTGTAGTTCCTGCACAGAAAAATATGGCAAATCATTTGATTCATGGGCTTAAAAGTTTAATCAACTGTCAATATTTTGTGCTTTCAAGACTACTACATTATGAAATATCAGAACAAGCAGAATTTATTATTCGTAAGTTAAAAACAAAACTTCCTAAATGACAACAGCACCTCGTTAACACTGGATGTAATCTGAGTAACTAAAGTCTCATTACTGACAATAAAATGTCACCTCACAAATACAGAAAAGGGAAGTCCAGGACCCAGTTGCCAATGAAGATTATAAATTAAAATAATGCCTCACACTTATCTGAAGGTTGACCTCCGGGCAGCCTCACTGAACACAAATGATGTGTTCCTGTTGAAAATCGGTGGCCACAGCTATGTGTGGTGTGGTAAAGGCTCTACAGGGGATGAACGAGAGATGGCCAAGAAGGTTGCTGCTGCAGTTGCCCCAGGAGAACAAGAAGTAATATATGAAGGTATGAGTAGCATTATTTCAGTTTCTCACAAGTATAATGATGACTGTCTTCTGGAATATTGTGCCATGTAGTCTGGTAGAAGTTTACTGACGTTGCAGACACATACTCTGTCATTAGGGCAATCATCACTCTGACGATGGACGTAGTATGTATCTTTGAAACAGTGCTATAAGTTTTCACTAGACTGCATGGCAATAACTCCTAGGAGACAATCATCTTCAAGTACCATTATGTTTAAAGATTCCAAGAAAATACAAAATCAGTATTCATATTCTCACTAAATAAAAATCAAAACATTTCTTACAATCCAATTTCCATTTCCTCCTAATGGATGAACAGAATTCTGTTATGAATATTTTGGCATCTGATATACCCAACAATGAGCTCTGCATCTCAAATGGAAGTGGTCACTCTCACCCACTCTCTCTCAATAATTTTCTCCCTTGCCTGCCCCCCACCCCTACCCCCCCATTATTCACTCTTGCTTGACTTCTCACCTGTTTAGTTACCAACACAATCTTCTCTTTGACCTTCCACCCATCCACAGACTCAGTAATTCTCACCCTCTTCCTAGCAACCACGCATGGGAGATTATAAACATGGTTAAAAGAGATGTATGGAACATTGTTTCAAACACTGAGGGTAACAGTCTTTATTATACCAGATCTTCTCAATTTATGTTTCTTTCCCCCTTATAGTGTTTCCGACAGAGATCCAAAGTATGTTTAATTTTACAACGGAGATTTAAATTTTTGCAGGTCAAGAGAAACCCGACTTCTGGGAAGCGATTGGTGGCCGAGAGGAGTATGCAAGTGACAAGCGCCTAGCAGACTCCACCGACACCATGCCTGCCCGGCTATTCCAGTGTTCCAATGCAAGTGGAGCATTCAAAGGTGTCTTTGATTTTCAGCTACAGTACAGTTTAAATTTGATTATAGAATTTTTCTCATTCTCTCTTGACCCATCATCCATAATCATTTTTACACTAGCAGTACTCTTAAGTTTAGCAGCAAAATTCTATCACCATCCACAATCATTTAAACTAGCTATACTGTTAAGTCTAATAGCAAAATTCTAAAGACTGTACACATGTTAAATTTGTTTTAAATTTGCTAACTGTATGAGAGTACAGTCCTTCTATAGAATTTGATAGTACACTCAGCTAGTCAATAAATTACCTGCATTTTATGAAGACCAAATGTTCATTACTGTGTCACAAGAGCCCACCACTGGTCCCTCTCCTGAATCATATGATTTCAATCTAGATCCCCAAACCCTATTTTAATATTATCCTCTCATCTATGCTTAGGTCTTCTGAGTGGTTTCTTCCCTTCAGGTTTTCCAACCAAAATTGTATACATATCTTTCATCTGCCCCATGCATAAAATATGTCATGCTAACTTCATTTTCCTTCATTTGATCACCCTAATATTTAGTGAAAAGCACAAACTGTGAAGTTCCTCACTAATCACTTTTTTCCATCATTCTGTTACTTCTTCCTTCCTCTGTCCAAATACTCCCCTTAACACTGTTTTCAAACACCCTCACACTCTGTGTTATTCCCTTAATATGAGAAACAAGCTCTTATGTCAATAAAAAAGAACAGGCAAAAGTAGTTTTGTGTATTTTAATCTATACATTTGACTCTAGCAAATGCTGAGTCAAAAGATTCCATAACAGCAAGCATTCCTTGAATTTAGTCTGTTCTTGATTTTCTTGTGAATGTAATTCTGATTCATTAATGCAGTCCCCAAATATATTAACTTAATTTGTTTTAAATTTCTGATATTTTGTTTTAAAGTGGAGGAGATCATGAACTTCACACAGAGTGACCTCATCTCAGAAGATGTAATGATGCTGGATGCTCATGACTCCATTTTTCTGTGGATTGGAAATGACTCTAATAAGAATGAACGAGACACGGCTGTCAAGATGGCCATAGAGTACCTCAAATCAGGTGATTACATCACATTTAGGAATCATAAGTACAGGCAGGTTGCACACTTTCCATTGTTTCTTGGTTTATTCAATTACATCTTATTAACTATGGTAACCTACAATGACAGGGTGATTATGAATTACAAAGGAAGTGGAAAGGGGTGATTTTGGCCTATCAATAAGGAATTATCATAACTGTTATTGGAGGCACTTAGTAAAACCATAAAACCTGTTGGAAAAGTGTGTTTCTGGGCTACAATTCAAACCTACAAATTGCAGCCAGGTCCCCCCCCCACCCCCATTCAGTGTTTCAGCACTGAATTATCCATGGCAGAGTAAATTTTCCCCAGCAGCTACTCTTTAAACAGTGAACAACCGAACAGGATGTGGACTAATACTCCAAAGAACCTATGACGAGTTTCACTGATTTCTGGTACAGCTGATGAAAACTCAGCACCAGCAGTTTAACTGGAATTTAGTCAGCAACAGCATGGACAAGGGAATATATTGACTTCATGAATTATTCTTTCAGAATGTCAAGTCAGTAAACAAATGTAATGTGATAACTGATGTCAGCCTACATTTCTATAATGTCCTTTCTAAATTTATCTTAGTCGTCACTACCATTCTCTTCTGATGAGTATATACTCAGTGTCAAAAAAACATTTCCAGTCCAGACTGTTACCACGTATCAACAAAACTTCATAGCAGGTTGAAAATTATGATACTGATGACAATAGCATTTGTGCTTATTACTACTGATATTATTACTCCTGCTGCTGTTGTTACTACTGCTAGCAGTACTACCAGTGCTTGTTTGTAGAAAAAAGGTGGCAGTACTTTGAGACTATGCCTGACAATTTCAATGTATTTTGAAAGTATTTTGTTTTTATTTTGAAGAAAAGGTACCAGTACTGCATACTGTCACACTGCAAAACATCATACACTACCACTACTCATACTACCATCACCGCCATTATTACTGATATTGCACAAGTATTAAGTAACATATTTCACCTTCATGATTGTTTCATAATAAGAACACTATCACAAATCTATCACTAAATTTGACAATAACTGATATGATTGTAGATCCCTCAAACCGCAGCGATGACACAGCCATCTTGAAGGTGAAGCAAGGTTATGAACCTCCCACATTCACTGGTTTCTTTGGAGTCTGGGACACCTCACTGTGGAATGTAAGTTAAACCACAACACTGATTAAAGTTCTGGTGAAGTAAATATGCCATATCATAGGGGTTAATATTTACAAATATTGACCAAATGAAGGAAAACTAGTGTTATCATCTCATTATTCATAACAGAATTGTGTAATCATTGCTTATAGAGGAATAAGACAGTGTTTATAATGGCTCCAAATCCATCCTGAAATGTGTAATATACTATAAAATAAAGGGTAAGAAAGAAAGAAATGTTAAAAAGGGGTCAGAGATTATATCATCCACAAGTGCAAATAATGGAAGAATCTCAAATTGTATTTAGTAGCATTACAACAACGGGAGATTTTCACACAGGAGAACAAGTCATTTGAAGATGTGCGTCATGAGCTAGAGGGTAGCAATCCTGTTCTTGAATTGGACCCACGTCTGGTTGATGGTGCCAAGAACTTTAGCGACTTTCCCAAATACCCACTTGAAAAGCTGCAGGCTTCAGCTGATGACCTGCCTGAAGAAGTGGACAAGACACGCAGAGAGGTAAGTATATCCCTCCTGTAATGACATTGTACAGATGAAGTTGTGATATATTAAGAGATCAGAACAATTTCAAGTTGCTGTGTTAGCGGTAGTAAGCACCTCTGAAACATTGGTCAGTTACTACAAGACTACAGTGAAACATTCCACATGACAGTCATCTTCATATTCACTGCGATGAGAGCCTGAAACCAGTCAGTAGAAGTCTAGTTAACCAGAATGCATTAGTAGGTCTGAAGGTGATCAGTAATGCAGATAACTATTTGGTTATATCACTATGCTGTAGTAACTGTTCAGGTTATGTGTAAAATTATATGACAGGATGAATTTAGAACAATGTAGAATATTTTTAGGTACTGTTTTTGTTTTCATCTGTAAAAAGACAAAGGATAACTGCTACAATACAGAAGACAGACATCTTCTTTCCTGCCTTATCATTATGCAAAATCTGACTGGAAGCTACACATATCCTGAGCAGTTGAACAGCATCATAAAACAACCAAATAAATAATCAACATTTATTGTAAAGGCTTCTGACAATCCTCCTTATTCCACAGCTGCACTTGTCAGAGGAGGATTTCAAGGCAGTATTCAAAATGGATCATGCACAGTTCTCTACACTGCCAACCTGGAAACAACACAACCTGAAGAAGGCAGCTCATCTCTACTAAAACAGTGACTCCACATTGTAATCGCTGCCACTTCCACACATAATCTGTAACAACATTCTAATTATATTTCTCATAACATTTTAAAATGATGAATTAATCAGAATTCAACTGCAAATTTGAAACAAAATTCCAGTGGTTTTAAAGTAAACACCTTCACTGCTTACAGCATTACATTGGGCAGAATAGATTACTCTGCATCATGCTTACAGCAGTAGCGATAATCAATCCCTATTTGTAGAACAAACTAAACATTGTCTGTTAAAACCAAATATAACCCTATCTCAGCACTGGACAATCCCAAGATAAAGCAGCTGAGAATCATGTGATTGGCAAAAATGTCTGGGAACTTAATATGTACTTATTATTTTATGCAGATGCAAGAAATTCTATTTCTATGGTCTTTATAGTGAAAAATATAACAAGTTCTTATTGTTTCAAATTTACGTTATCTAGCTACTAAAAACTTTACACTGATGGATGCAGATTTGTTGCATAAATGTCCAAGAACTGCTGCCAGCTTCAACTACTACTCCTAGGGTAAAATTCCTCAAAACAAAAGTAAGTAATTCCACTGCTGAAGAACTTCACTGTCTAACTCTTCTTCACAAAATACAACTTATATGAAAGATGTAATTTGAAACCCTCAGCTACAACAGTTCCCTGCCTCCTCTGAAAATTTCATACATCCTGTGAAATGTCAAAGCTTAATTCCAGCATAGTATTCAGGTGTAAACTATTTTACCCTATCAGTAATTTAGTGCCAGAATCTGAATCAAGAGCTTGCCCAGTTATAATTAATGACTGCCAAAGTCAACTCACTCAGTTCACCAAATCTAAAAAACCATTCTGTAATCACAAAAGATGTGTAACATTCATCTAGATGGATGACACAGCATTCCTGGAAGTCTATCACAAAGAAAGTAACAAATCTGGCATCTTCATTCCCAAATGTTTGTAAGCAAGCAGTACATGCGCAGAATTTGCTTATGTAGAATTCAGTGCAGAAATTCAATAAAAATGTTAGCCACCAATCATTTATTTTTTAGAAAAAAAGAAAGAAAAGAACTATATTATTAAATATCTTTTACATATGTTAAACTGCTCTTTACTATTCTCCTATTTCTTTCCTTCTTCAGTGAGCTTTTATTCTATTTCAATTAAGACAGGCATAAGTAGGAACCAGGCAATTCAAAGACACTAAATTTCCACAATCTGTTGAGACTGTATTTATGTAATTATTTCATTTCCCTAGCTTGACATCTGTTAAGTACAGAAAGAGTTCAGAGCACAAAGCAACAGAGTTTGCTAAAATGCAAATGCATCAGAGTGTAGCTATTTTATAAGATAATATCCTTAATTCCAACAATGACAAGTCTTATAACATAAATTACTTCTACAGGTAGGTTTAATTGTAGTATATCTGAATCCTGTTATTAAACAGAAATATAATAGTGCCATTCTAGTGGTTTCTAATCCTCTGAATACTGCCCACATAACAAAAGCAACACTGCATTCTAGGAATTTGCAAATATGACAATGGTAAAGTACTTAGTATGTGTTAACAGAAGAAACCCCTAAGGGAACAAAACAGTTTTAATAATATCATATTTTCATAGACAGCAAAATTTCCTTCAGTACCCACTACGTTAATTTCCAAAAACTCCACAAGACCTTGAGACATATGGTAAGTTTGGTCCCAAGCATGACTCTCTTAACACCACAGCTCTTATTTAATGGGATTCAGGTAGACAGGAGAAACAAAGATGACAGAATAAAACCTTGTATCCCTTTTCTACACAACCATCCTATAATATGACAAGGGACTTTCAAGGCCTGATTCCCTGGAGGTTGAAAACATAAAATGACACATTTGGAAAACAATTTTTACTATAATCCTAAAGGCTGCTTTTTCTTTTACCTGATAAATTAAAGTTCCTAGTATAAATATTCCACAGTGTCGCAGCCGTGTAATGCCACAGTTCCACTTTGACAATGTGAATAATAGTTGTATATACAGACAAAGTTCACGAAGAGTCACAGAACACAATGTAACACTATGATCAAACACATGTTACTACACAAGTAAATTAACTGCAATACTAAAACAAAAGATACAGGTCATCAATAGACGAACAAAAAAATTTATAACATTGGAATACTATGATTGTGTTACAATTAGATCCTTACAAAGGCTCATCAGTTTTGTGTTATAGTGCAATGAAAACAATAAAGTTACAGCATTTCTATTAAAAAACACTACTGCATTACATAATAAAATACTGGTCTTCCAAAGTCCTATAGCTTTCTGTCCATACGCATCATACAACTTGAGAACAAACCTATGTGATTTAATGTGTACATCAAAAACATATTTTGATCTTCATGTGAAGTGGTGGCCTGATATAATATGATTGAAATTAACATATTTCATGCTGTAGCAAGTGTCACTCATAAACAATTTTCTCAGAAGCTCTCTGAAGAGTTTTGCAGTTGAAAAAAGAGTGTACAGCCATCATTATGTAAGCTCATACGTGGAACAATGACAACAACATCGTGGTAGGTTTCGTCTCAGAAGAACATCACTGCCTCCATCAAAGAGCTGAAAATGGATACAGTGTGTTCCTCCAAAATGCTGGTACAGTCAAACCTCGGTTCACGCACTTAATTCGTTCCTGAAGGTCGTTCATAAACCGAAACTACTTTCCCCATAGGAATTAATGTAAAATGGATTAATCCATTCCTGGACCCCAGATGATTGCTTATTTAAAATTTTGCAACAGTACTTTGTGCACAAGTTCTTAACACAAAATCAATGGAAACCATTAAATCCATCACAAAAAAGATAAACACAACACTAAGCAGATCAAATATAGACGAAAACTTAATTTAGTTTTACCGTACCTGTATGGAGGAGAGTTGATGGCGTAAGTGGAAGGTGGTGAGGAAGTGAAATGTTATTGTTTGGAAGGGGATTCTTTTTCTCTTTTCTGTCTCTTGGCACCACTCGACTCTGCATCAGACTCACTGGGCCTCTGTCTCAATAAAAAGTTGTCCAGTGTGATTTGTTTTTGTCTAAGTTTTAAAATGTTTCTAAAGTGACACATGGCATTATCATTGAAAATGTTTATGCTGCGGCTTGCTACTGCTTTATCGGGGTGATATCGTTCCAAGAAACTTTGCACCTCGCCCCATTTTGCACAAATTTCACAGATCAAAGAAGTAGCAAGATCAGAGACACGAACACCATTTTCATGTTTGGCTATGATTTCTTTCTTAACATCTATCATGATATTGGTATTTTTTCTTTTCACTTTGCTGCTGTCATTGTCTTTCTTTGGCCCCATGCTGGATCATTCTTCTACGAATACTGCCGACGCTGATACTCCCAGCTTATCACTCCATGATGTTGACAGCTTGCGTGTTCGTAACTCGAGACACAGTATGTCATCCGAGACGCTTTGTGTTCGTAAACTGAATTGTTCGTGAACCGAGGTTTGACTGTATATACTTACAAGACACAAGGCATTACAACCCAGAAGACCAACTATAACATCTCCACTGTCATTAGCACCTCAAATATCATATTCTCTTACTACTTGAATTTCTTTCCCAAGTACCTTGCATATGATACATACTAAAATAGTAAAAGTAAAGTTTTCCTGCTATACACGGTGTAAGCGATAGGAGGTAGAGAAGGTATAGCTCCTACTCATTCTTAACCTCAGCACTAGATAGGGGTGTGGTCAGCATCACACCCTGGCTGCACTTTACCCCAGGAAAGGACCCCAGTAACCATTAGAAAGGCTGGGTGGGCCCCAGAGCAGGTCTGGACACAGAGGCCAAAGGAAAAATTCCCTGCCCCCTAACAAACTAAAGAAAAAATACAGAGTAAAAGTAATAGGAACAATTTCTGATCACAGTATGTGCATGGAAAAAATGTGGGAACATCAAAAGGACATGGTTTACTTTCTCTCTTTTATTGATGTGTATACATTATTCTCACCCATACACATAATCAACACAATATCTACAAAATAGCATCCTTTCAATATTATTATATTATTAATATTATACACTTGTAAATAAAATGGTATGACTTCAGAGCAGTAGCATCATAAATTTCACTGGCAGAAGAAAACTCATCTGAAACGTGATAAAAAATCTTGAAAGAATTATTCACGGACACATGCTACTCTCCATCACGTCCCTGGTTACGTTAAAGGCACAGTGTACATAGTTTACATACTGCTATCACTGCCACGTAATAAAACAGCACTAAAAAATCTCGCTCACTCGCACTCATGAAGAATTATTACAATCATTCACAAGTGCCAACAGGCACCTAAAAAATTCTTCGAGATTCAAGATCCTTCACTATGTTAATTGGCACGGAAGTTGTCAGACGAGGCATTGTTAAGTGAGCAAGAGTACTGGTTTGTTTTCATTTAAAACTAAGCGATAATTTGGTTATGACATGTAGGAATGTGGAACACCTAGGGGTGAGCAAGGAAGAAATAGGGTTATTATTAGTACTGAAACAACAGCAAACACTTTGGCTTCATTTCAGTCGTGATAGCATCATAGTCACTTCTATCACGTAATCTGACAAGATGCACGAATTAATTTAAATTATAGCTTTATAAGTCTTTGTACCATCATATGCATTCTCATAAAAAAATAATTTTTGCATCAGAATTTAACATCTTGCAAGCCGTAACACAACCAATACTGTCAGCTGGTCATTCACACCTCTGACTACCACATGACAATGTTCAGGTCTCAACATTAATTTACGTATGCATCTCACTTGCCCATGACAGATGAATTTGCTGGAAGGGTAGCAGAACGCTGTTGCTGTGACACGTATGGTTTCAAGCTTGACCGCTGTGACTCTCTGTAACAAACAATGACCATGTTGAACCCTGGAGCTGTGGAATGGCTACATATGCAGAAACAATAATTTTCTTTCATATAAAAAACTAGGAGGGGAAATAGTGACAGGAAATATGGTAATTGAGGTATACACATTTACATGCTGTTGGTAGTTACATATCAGTATGAGAAAGGATGGTAGAAAGAAGTAAAGAAATATAAAGTGAGAGAAAAGTTAAAAGGAGAGAGAATGAGAGAAATAAAGAAAGACAATTATATTGACCATGTGCAGAAAAAATACCAATGAACAGTTATGAGACTTATGTACAAGGAAGGTGTGAATGTAATTGAAATTCAACAACAGATGTTCATACTTTGACAAATTTATGACATAGTATAAGAATAAAGAGAGAGAGATGAAAGGTCTGTAAATAGCAAACAAGAGTTGATTAAGCTCTCATCATCACAAAGGTAGAATGATCTATGAGAACAGGCAAATTAGAATCACAGATATTTCAGCTGAACAGAATAGCAGTAGATGTATTTTAATTGTTAGAGACTTATAGGTATTCCATTTATCTTCTTGCATCTCTGTATAGTTTAACTCATGGTTCCCTGATGTTGCAGTTCAAAGCAGGGTGATCTAGAAGATGATCCTTGTCCATTATATGACTTTCTTTTCTGCACTCTGGAAATGGGTAGATTTTTAGTCTTGGTATATGGGTGGCCAAGCAGTCATATCCAGTTATGAGATGAAACATGGCTACAAATTCGTCTTCAGGTTTCTGGGATTATGTTTAAGTTTTTAAATATTATTGTTTCATTTTTGTTTTGGATTGGCACTGAGCAGTCTTTAGACAGGTCATTAAAGAAATTTATTATTAACTATGCAGAGTGGAAGTAGCATTTGGGGAAGGTGCTCATATGACCTCTTCCCTTTTGAAAGGCAGTCTGCCTTTTACTTCTTGTCACTGCAATAGGCAGGTATCCACTGAAGCTTTATTACATTCTACACTATGCAGTAATTTTATGTCTGAATTTTCCCTACTTTTTATATAGAGGTGAGTCAGCTATTACTATCTATTGTATCTCTTCTTTGGAGCTGCTAAAATCTTTGCCTAACTGAACATTAGTTATGGATCTATGCATTTTATAAACCACAACAATATGAATATCTGTGAAGTAACTGCAATATGTAAGCCAAAGCTATTGATGGAATGCCATAAAAGTTTGGATATCACTATAACATCTAACACTATCATCAGGAAGCAGTTGCTTTTCTAAACCATACTGTAATGGAATCAGTGACTACACTCTTGTAAATTCTTTAAACGTAAGATGGATTTACTCCACATACTATTACAGTTAATTATATCTGAACATGTTTGCAGTACACTGCAACAATCACCTCGCTGCTCAGTCACTTGCTGGTTCAAAACTCATCATTCTACTAATAACATAACAATGAATATTCCACAGGACTATTCCTAGCAGTGCAATACAGTTTGCTCACTGGTTCAAAACTGAGCTGGCTTGCATCTGTGACTCATATTTCAACAACTTGGTTAATGCTTCTAAAACTATAAAATATTAACACTTCTTTCCTATATCAGCCAGACTACACAAAAAGTCTAGATAATGCACATACACGCTGGACTGCCATTAATCATGCCACTCACGATGGGATAAATTGTTTGCTGACATAAATGTAAACTGCTGTAATCAGAGCTTATGGCAATATATTTTTTTATTCAGTGTTCTGTCTTATGACAGGTCCATTGGTCTGCCCAAAAAGAGCTCTCCAGTTTTCCCTATTCTCAGCTTCTCGTTTTACTTCCTGGAACTTCATCTTCTTTCCTTGTTTCAGATCGTCGATTAGCTGTATCAGTCTTCTTCCCAGTCCTCACTTTCCTTCAACCTGGCCTTCGATATCACTCAGTAACCCATTCCTTCTCATAATATGTCCCAGCCAGTTAGCTTTCCTTCGTGTAATCGCCTGCAGAATGTTTCTTTGCTCGTTGACTCTCCTCAATACTTCTTCGTTGGTCACTCGATCCGTCCACCTGATCTTCTCTATTCTTCTCCAACACCACATTTCAAAACTCTCCACGTATTTCTGTTCCTTCTTCCTGAGTGTCCAAGTCTCTGCTCCATACGTAACACTTCACTAGTTTCTCCTTCATCTCCAAGCCCAACTTGCTAGTGAGAAGTATCCTCTTCTTGACGAAAGCTACCTTGGCCATGGCTATCCTTGCTTTTACTTCCTTGGTGCATAGAGCGTCCGTCGTGATTATGCTTCCCAAGTACTTGAAATGCTCCACATTCTCCATCTGTTTGTTTCCAATTAGAACGTTCAATGGTTCTGCTCTCGGTGCTATCCTCAT